AAAACACAAAGTAATATAACACCAATTTTATTTGTAAAAATATAAAAATTATTTAACTAGATACAACTATATACATATATATATTTGTAGAAAATAAATTATTATTCACAAAAATAATAGACGAAATTATACTTTTATTCTAATCAAATATCAAAAACTCGTATTGGATTTTAGTCATGAAGATTTCCAAAAGATGCTACGAAATTTTAGTCACGTAAACCGCACCTTCTCAACATCGAAAGAAAATTCTAAATCTTCGTAAGGACATAGAGGGATAAATTAAGCATTCTTGTGTGCGTATATATACATATATATATGTTGATATATGTGTATATGCGTGTGTGTATGAGTGTGTGCTAGCAACAGCAAGAATTATATACCTGGTAAGAAGAGTTTTTACTATAGCTGTAAGGGCCATCTCCTCCATTCATGGGTTTTGATCGGATTAATGGAGGAACCTCTTGCTCTGCCATCTCTCTCTCCCTCTCTCACTCTCTTCTCTCTTCAGATCTCTTAACTTCTACCGACTGATCATGTATATGCGTACACACACACACACACACACACACACACACACACACACACACACATATATATATATTACTAGAGTCCTGAATTGTTCATACACTAATATCATCATCACTGTTATCATCATTATAATTAATCAGCCATTGAGCAATGGACTGTTTTAAATATCTTCATATGTAACACATGAAAGTCTAAAATAATAAGTGGCCTGTTTGTTAATTACATATATTGAAAGGGAAAATATAATATATATATATATATATATATACATATATGGTTTTAATTTCATTCACATGGTATGGCTTCCAAGCCTCTCGTTTCACTGCTGGCTCTTGCCATTATTGAACTTGAATCACCTTATTTTCTAAGTCATTAACTTAGAGAATATCATAGCATCAAGAAAGATTCTTGCAATATTATATTTATATTTTCCTTAATTTTTTAGAAAAAATTATATATTTAATTAATTATGCGACGCATGTATATGAGTTTATGATAATATATTAAGATTATATGATAATTTTTCATGTATATTCTTCTTTTAGTGAATATCAGTAAATGCTCTATTAAAATTTAATTTCGAAACGCAAATTAATATTACTTTATTGAGAAAGAAAAATATTTTTTCCATTGATTCACCCATAGTAATAAACATACCGCACCTACTTGGAAATTCAAAACAAAATATACGATTGAGCCAAATCCCCACACTCATTTATATATGAATGTCAACATACATCTATATGAAAATTAGAAAGTATACATATTACTATTAACATTTATTCTACTGTGGGCTTAAACCTCCGCACTCTTTATTTATTTATGAATATAAACATACTTTTGGTTTTCTATCTAAATGAAATTCTGACTCGGTGAATTTATTTATTTTTTTTAAGTAAGATAAACAACTCTTTCAAAAGGGAAGTCTTACAATAGTTGGGAGGATCCTTGCCAAACTTCTGAGCAAAATATTCAAATATTTTGTCTGTATTGACCTCTCCAAAATGGTCCTTTATAATTCCTTCAAAAACCGATCTCATCATAGAAGTAGCAAGTTGGGAATTTATTGGCATACTTCTCATTGGAATATCTAAAAGCTCGAATGTTTCAATGCCGAAACATTCATTTTTCTCAATCAAATCCT